GAGAGAGAGAGAGGTGCTTCCTCTTGGAAAAAAGGTTTTGTAGAGAGAGAGCTTAGAAAGAGTTTTGGGTGAAATATCACATATTTCTCTCTACCCTATTTCTCTCTCCTCTCCTCTCTCGAGATAAGGACTGGAGCCATGGGTTTCGGGTGTTGTTGTTGGGTTTGGGGCTCCCATGGCATGTTGGTCTCTCTGAAATTGTGATAAATGGATTTGGAGGATGTTGCACCAGTGCAGGTAGAGAGGGAGACTGAAAGATTGATGAAACAAAATGCAACTGATTCGGATCCATATCCCATGGATGATTTTGGATCTGGATTCGAATCTAAATATTTTGGATCCGGATTCGATGTATACTAATCGCATCTGGATCCGGGTGGATCCAGACCCGATCTGGAAAATTCTCAGTCCTAACCCAGAGAGTTAAACTGAAAAGGGAAAATATGGGAAATAAAATGACCTTTTTTGGAAATCCCCATTACCATCCGTTCTATGAGTGAGGATCGGAAAGGAATAAAAACAACATTGCAGCCTTCTTTTAATCAGAGAATGATTTCTTGATCATTATAGCAAGAACAATAAAACTAAGTGATTGCACAAGGCACAAAAATCAATTCTTATGGTACAAAATACACCACGCCCCATCGTCTGATATGCAAACAATCGCAGTCATGAATATTCCAATTATTAAATATATTGAGAATTATGTTCTGTTTATTGTATTACATATATTCTTTTCTTTCACCTGTTACAAAAAATAAATAAATAAACAAATAATATTTACCATCACTATGAAACCTTTTAGATCCAAATGAACCTCTGTGATCAACCTATACTAACAACCATTTGCAGAGATTAATTGTTTAAATAAATGAGAAGTTACATGGATTAAACCGCTTATAAATCAAATAAAACATCTGAACTCACTAAAAAACGATTAGTAGCTATCATAAGGCAACACATACAAGTCACTGCGATTGTATGGCGCGCAAGACTCAATATTAGTGGTAGAACTATAACATGAGATGCAACTGAGTGTAGCAGAAAAATAAAAAGAAATAAAAACCGTAGTTACTGTTTGTTTGACTTGTTCTCTCGCAATTATGTTGTTTCGGAGGTTCATGAGAATTTCAATTTTTCTGTTTACTCATGGAGGTCCTAGAGTTTCCTTCCTACACTGCTTTTAGGAAATGGCATTCTTAGGTTACAGAGGGAACCCTAATTTCTATCCCTTTTTCTTAACAGACTTTTCCATTTGTTGGGGTTTGATATTTTTAGTTTCTTCTAGAGAGAGGGACGAGAGAAGTAGAAAGAGTGTGTAAACTGACATTTACCAAAGACATTGTGGGATGAAGATGCAGAGAGAGAGAGAGAGAGAGAGAGAGAGAGAGTAGTTGTCGCGTG